GAGACATGTATCTTGAAATGCACACACGATTAACCTGTCGTAAGGACATTTCATTTCTTATTCTCTGAGACGGGAAGATCAATGCGTTCCGACAAAGGAGGAGACTCGATAGCTATGAGTTCTCCTCTTCCGATACGGGAAGCTCGATCACATCTGTGTGTGGTGTATTTGAAGGTAAAAATTGAAGAGTCTGAGATATCCGGCTTCAGCCAGGTCTAACAGAAAGCGATAATTTGAAAATTAAAATCAAGAGAATCTAAATACAGGTTTTTAAGATTCGATTTAAGACCTTTAACATTCTGGCAACTAAAGTTGATTAGAAACAGGAGGTAATAAAATCGGAGCCCGATTTTTCTTGTTGGCCTAATATTATTTTACTATTAAGTGTTCCAGCCAAAAATCTTTACAACAAATATCAGTAAATATTTCTGGCAGAACACTTATTTTAAAGGACGCAATATTACCTTCATAAGCGAACTTAAATTTCTCCACCAACACTTTTAACTGTGGTACCTAACACAGCCGGTAGTCCGGACGACGAGCCTTCTAGGAGCTGTTTATTGCTGCTGTCGCCCTTTCCAAACACCTACGACACCAGACAAGGCGGATAATTCGACTGGTTTTTCTCGTGCCGATGTCACACTGTTCGTGACAGAATTAGTGTCTACAGAAGACCTCACAGCTACCTGAGTAACTAATAAGATAGCAATATATTCCATGCAACATCTCTATTCAACATCCCTATTGCACCTTATCTTGCTCTATCTTACACACAATTTGATTCGATTCCTTTCTCCAACTCGTATTCTAAGCTGCTCTCAATTCTTTTGATATAATGGAGATGTTCATGCAGGAGTAAGTTTTTATATATTTTCTATAAGTATAAACGTACCTGTCTATTAAAATAAAAAATAATATATTTTTAATTAACCTCCCAGGCTATGTGCATTTAACGGCGGAAAACGTTACTCACCTGAAAAGAAAAAAGTATAGAAAAAGCATTAGAATATTATGAATATAATCTTATATTAAACTATACATATACAGAGCTTTGATAATTATCGGAGAAAAGTATCAATTTTTAAAAAGAAAGTCCCGATAGCAGCAAAGCACATTATTATCAGTCTGAAATGGCCATCGATACTTATGGATGTCGAATATACCCAAGTACAAGGACATTCAAGAAAGCATTGTGTGCAAATCCCCTCTTTTATGTAGGGTAATTTGAAGATTTTGATGGCGACGATTGCTTGGCATCCGATGTTTGGTGACCAAAAACAAATGTAATTCATTAAAGAACCTAATTATAAAATAAGCGAAATTGTCAATATTTTATTGCCGGCCCTTATGTAAATACCATTTATGCTATATTCGTTGGGTACGCATTCAAAAAACTTTTTTGAGATATTATAAGCTTCTGAAACATTTAAAACATTCGCCCCTCCTTCCGCATCGGAGTTGTATCCAGTCGCATTGATTACACACTCCGGTAAGGAGCAATTTAAGCAATGAGAATCGTCTTTGTCTGCAGGACAATAAATTGTATTGTGTTATTTGTTTCGCCATTTCGTAACTTACTGCCGCATACCAAGCCAATAAGTAATATTGGAAATGCAACCCAACCTGGCATATCTTTTTGGAAAATATTCAAGCAAACTGACACAGTTTTAGGGGCATGCTTATTGTGCTAATATATGAAATAGAACATTACCCATAATGATATTAAGATATGATTGGGTAAATGAATAAAACTGCACATCACATTTTTTGTGAGATGATTTGCATTCCGTTTATTCTTTACAATAACAGTTTATACCCATTACGAATGGATCTGAAAGTTAACCCATAGAGTATATATATTTTTTTATTACAGAATTTGTGGTTCTAGCTAATATTAATTATATGTATACCTCTATATTTTTACATAGCTAATGTGTATAAACACAAAGTCAATTAGAATTGACCAGTTCGTAAAGCGCATATAGACTTAAAATTTAGCACATTTTAAAGCTTAAAATTACTCACTTTAATTGTTAAACGTAGTGGAAACTATAAGCTGACGTAACCGGAAATTAAAAAAAAAAAAATATGTAAAAAAAGTCATTTACATCTGGTAAAAAGCTGCAGGTCGACAAAAAAGCGAGCTTGACCCTCGCTTTTCAGTCTCCCAAAAAAAGTTACAAAACTTTTTTTCGTGTATGTGCATGCATATAAGTGTGAATTTTTGCGTATTTGTATATAAGGCAAACCACATGTTGTTCTATTATCGGGACATAAAAATGTTGCTCCCTGGACAAAAAAAACTGCACTTAACCAAAAACTGAGCCCGAATTAGCTACGACCACGACAACACGGAGAGCCGGAAAGCAGTTGAGACCAGCTGTAGACAGACGGCGGATATGGTATGTTGGGGATAGAGGAGAGAGAAGAGAAGGCGGAGAAGGGAAACAAGAAAAGTGTTCATGGACGCAACGTGTGGCCATTGTCCCCCACGTTTCCTTCCACCACGTTCCAGTACATGTTGTCAGCCCCCTTTGGACTGTTGCTTTCAGTCATAAACTCTAACGTTACAATTTCTGAGTGTATGTGTGTGTGTGCTTTTTGACTTTTTATTTTTGACATTGTCGGTTGTTGATGTTGCTGCTATTTTTCGTGGGGACTGTTAATAATGCGTTGTGTGCGTTGCTGTTTTTTTGTTCACTGTCGCAGCTGCAATGGTTCATACTTTGATATGTCAGATAAGCCCCGCATAAAATATTTTATTAGCAATGCTCTGCCCTGCTCTCGCAATACTTGTACGAATGATTGTGAGCGCGCGTGCGTGTGTCTATGCTTGTGTGAGTGTGTGCATTAGTTGAGTAGCCCCGAAACATAATGTTTGCTATGACGATAACAGTGCCACCAGCGCCCAAAAGCAAAAACTACTGTTCGTCTCGTTCATATAAGTTTTTCCAGGACGCTCGTTTGGTTGAAAAAGGATGCATTGTTTACAGGAATTATTGAAAACGTTCTAAAACCAGGATCATAGATTCGAATAGGTTTTTGTTTTTAATTTGCCAAATGACTAGCAAACATCATAAGCAAGAAGTAAGTTATTCATCAATATAACTTTTTTTATTTATGTTTAAAATATTAATAGTAAAAATTAAAAAGAAAAGTATAAATGGTCCCGATTGTGTGTTTAAGTATGCTCTTCCCGTTGTGGTTTAGTACCTTCTATTTATATATCCAATATTTTATATACATGAAATACCCTCGCAGGGGATATAAAAATTTTGTCACGTGTAAAGCATAAGTCTAAATATATGATCAGAATCAATAGTCGAGTAGGTAGAGGTCGACAGTTTTAATTAAGCTTTTCATAAGCCCGAAGTACCGCCCACATATGCCGGAACGGGCCGGATCGGATCAATACTTCATATAGATGTCAAAGGAAATATCGGTAGAAAATCGAGCTCTGGTATTAAACAATTTTTGTGTGTTAAGATAAAATGAGAAAACTCGGAATTTATAAGTTTCACTTCTTACACGTTAAAAATCAGATCAATCTCGGACTAAAACATATGCAAAACCGTAAGGCATATGTATATAAGGGTATTTAGTCTTCGGCATGCGGAAGGTAGCCCTTTTCTCCTATTTTTTTGTTATTGTACGAAAATGAAAATTAATGAATGTGAGCAAATGCTCTTGGCAGCGCGCCAAGCAGAGGCAACATACCGAAGACAGTAAATTAAATGTCATATGTCAACCTTTGTGTGTTGCGTGTATGTGTGTTTGTGTGTGTATATGTATGTGTGTTTGTGTGCTAGTGTGTGTACACGGCGCTCTTTTTGTTTTATTTCATTTCCAACTGCTGTTTGTCTTTGCCATGGCTCGCAAGTTAATTTTGTGGCTGGCAGCTGCGTCTCGTCCCGGTCGCCCCTATCCGCATCCGCATCCGCATCCGTATGCACATCCTTATACACGGTCTGGCTCTGGATTGTGTCTGATGTGTGCCTGATGTGTTTTAAATTTAATTCAATTTTTTTTGCCGCTTTGGTGCCAAGTATATCTTTGTATATTCCTTTTTTTGCCTAGTTCAATTACGCATACGCCACGTTGCCAGTGCATTCAATTTAATTAAGAGGCTGTTTTCGTAAGTAACCAAAAAGGAGAGAGGCAGAGAGCGTGTGCGAGAGAAAAAAATACTGAATATACCTGTGAAAGCTAAAAGCTTTATATTTAAGTAGTTGTGAAAATTGAATTTCATTTAGTGTTAATTTTTCATCACACGTGTGTCAGCTGCAGTAGCGTTTACTTTTAGCGTTAAATTCTTAATGGCTTCTGTCAAAGCCAATAAATGTTGGCTGCCTGTCTGGGTTTTTTGTTTGCCCTGCTTCGCTGCCGCGCACTTTAAAGATTGCGGCTGAAGGGTGCGGACAAAATACGATTTTAATGCTTTTAATGCGCTTAATAGTTCGCGCATCATTAAATCCAATTGCATAAAGAGCCACTGCTGCGCATCCCATCACACCGTACTGAACCGCACCCCAGTCGGGTAGGAAATATTTCTATAATATTTTTACAAGTTTTAAGCGGTGCTGGGCTTAATTACAAATCGATATGATAGCTTTTGGCAAGGATTGCTAATTGCGCACTCGAATCGCAATCGCTGGCAGAGCAATGCGGGTGCCTTCAAGTGCGTCTATTTGTGAGAAATTTATCATAAAAGTTGTTACTTGGTAAATGTTGTCCACTTCAATAATATTTATTTCATATTTATATCATAAACCAGAGATACAGACATTTGTATCAGATGTTATGTTATAATGCAAAAGGAAGCCGTTATTCAATATGTTTAAGAAACAATTATCTTTAAGAAAATGTACCGGAAAAAAGTTAACACGTCCAAAGAACTCGATGAAGATATCTAGTGGTGGCTAAAAGAGCGCTTCCTTTATAAGTTACTAAAGAGAGATTCGATTCAGCTAATTGAGAAATTGTATCGTAATTGTGACATTTAAATTTCAATCTTTTTGAGAGCTTTATAAATCCGAATGTATATTTAGTTTAAAAATAAATTCAGGCCAGCAGCTCTAGAATATTATCTACCCCCATGCCCCATACTCATTCGGTGCGGTAGCTGCTGCGAATTCGGTGCGTTGTCCTGGCGTCTGGCTGCCGACGATGCCAATGCCCATCTACCACGTGTATAACTTATTTATGAGGCTTTTACATACAACTACAAAGAGATACGAGAGACAGAGAGCCCAAAGGCTGAGCCTGGTATATTTGGTGGCTGTGACTCTGGCCAAACTGGTGAACATAAAAGGCAAAGGCAAACGGCAATGGCAGTTGAATGTAAGTACTATACATATTATATACAGAAAATACTTTCACTGGTTCGGGTTGGCTTTAACCCGCTTTCAGCAGTCGCAGCATGACCAAAATATTTGCAAATGGACTCAACAACTTGGCCCGAAACATGTCCTTTGTGTGCGCTTACACATGTGAGTTGAATGGGCTGACTGAGCTGAATGAGTTGCGTGAGTGTGTTGAGGTTGAGTGCAGAGTAGGGTCTGGTCACTGAAAGCATAGTTTTGGCAATTTCTTTTCTTGTTCGTGGGTACACAGAATAATTGCGTATTTCTATGTGTGTACGTATGAGTGGGTATGGCATATCGGGGCGACAGACTGTCATCCTTTTTCTGCCACTGCCAGAGTCTTGTCTTGTGGCCATGAAATGGCAATGGCAATGCCAGCCATTAAAAATGTAGAGTAGGCGGCTACGTTTTTTTTTTTTTTTACGGGTAAGCGTTGTGTAAATTTGCAAACTCCATGACATAAGCATAAATTCTTCGGCCCGCTCGCCCTTTTCACACTCTGGGCTTAAGGCGAAGCTGTCAGCCACAATAGCTGGCCAAGAAAGTTGTGTCTTCTAAGTGCACCGCCCGTTCTGTCTAAGTGCACCGCCCATTTAAACCTCAAGCATCTATTGTAAATTATTTTTTCGCCGTAAAGGAGCTTAAATAAATTCGTAATTATTTTAAACGTGCCTCTGCTACCACGCCTCTGTAGTCCGCTTGCTGCCTTTCTTTCTTATACATTCTATGCTCTGGCTCCGAAAGTTTGGCGAAAGTTTCGCCCTCGCTCATTAAGTGGCACAATTTCTGTTTTCCTCTGCAACTTTCCAATGGCATGGCAGCAGTTTGGGTTGAGAGGTGAATGGAAAGCTTGGTGCAAGGGTCAACGGATGGGTAGCGGGAAAGGGCAATGGTGCATCAAGTGCCGCCGCATCACACGCCAAGTAATTATGAATATTTTAACGAACTTTTGCCACAGGCAGCAGCAAATCAAAATATTTCGTTCGAGTGCGCAAAGTTAGGGCAAAAAAATAGAATGTAGGCTACAAAAATCGGGAAAAACTAAAAGAAAAGGCACAAAGTTTTCCGTTTGCTTTTCGCAAAAGGCGCGGTGAGTCCATCCTAGCCTAAGCACACAAAACCAATGAGCAGAGCCGACACTGGCTGGGTGATAAATAATTTTTTATGTATAACTCTAATGCAATTTAAATTTTTAATTAAGCAAAGTTAAATATTTTTTGGCTGTCGAGCAGAAAGTATAAATTGCAAAAAATTATTCTTGGAACGAAAACTTTTGATCGCAGAGATTAGGAGGTTAAAAATGTAAATGATATATGTTAATAGGCTGTCGGGAAAAGCACATAGCCAACAAAATGGCTTTATATTGATTAATGTTTAAAAATTATTATTTCTTAGAATATGTCGAATAAATTTTTCACAAATATTTAGAATTGTATCTGCTTCTCAGACTACGCTTTTGAAGTATACACTTAATTAGGCAAAATTGCAACAAGTCCATCCAATTCAAAGGAGAGAAATATGGCCAACGCACAGATTCGCTTTAGCTGTCAAAGCAAGCTAATGGACTGTCTGACTGGGTGCTCTGGAGTGAGCTCTTCCTTTTTGCTTGTGTGCAATAATTGAATTTGGTCTAGAGCCAATTAAGCATCAAGTCAAAGGCTTGCTGCCCGTTGGTCACTTTAACGTCAGCTTAGACTGCAAAGCTTAACCGCATAGCCAAAGTTTTCACATTGTTGCGGCACTTTGGGTGCACTTGAGTATTTGCATGCCTTCCACAAGATTCCAGCTGCTGCTAGTCACTCACACTAGGACACAAAAAGCAACTAATTATAATAAAAATAATAAGGCTGTGCAAGGGCACGAATATTAATTAAGTTCTTAACAATGCAGTCCTGCAACTGCTGATAAAATGCAAAGGCCTGTCAAGGATCTTAGATACGGCCAAAGAACCTGAAGCAAAATGGATATGGCGTGTTGAGCCGACAGCGCATACCTGCGCATAATTATGAAAAACTGTTTACTTTACTTTACTTCTATGAAACAGAAGCGGCTTCTGTCATTTAATTTTATGCAGAATTTCAAAAGACCCGACATCGGCTTGCCTGGGATAGTTCTCATGCCGAGCAGCTTCTGAGCTGCGCCTTTGATGCTCTGAGCTGAGCTGCATAGATTAGCATAAAATCAACAACGGCCACACCCTGACTTTGACTTCTTGCCATTCACTTTGTTTTTGGCCAATGGCATTTCAGTTTTCAATTAAAACCAGCTACGTGCAGGCCATATATCAGTCGAAACCGTAACTCACCTGCATAATCAATTTAACTGCGCTCCCTTCAGGCATCCAGGCGAAGTTTCAAGAGGAAATGGAATAAGTCAGAGCTTAACTTCGGTAACAAAAGTCAACTAACAACGCGCTGATTTATTTTCAAAACCTAATTTATTTTTAAATTTGCGTTCCTCCCATTTTTGTAAATTTTATTTTTGTAGAAAAATGTGTTTATAAATTAATTAGATTGTAAGCTAAGAAAAAAGGAGAATTTTTCTCAATTATTCATCAATTGCGATCAATAAAGTTTTTGTTAAAAATTTTGGTCTTTATTGTAATGATTATAAGAAGAGACAAAATAGAAGATAATCATATTTATGGATTGTATAAAAGCTAAGTTAGATTTCCGTTTAATAATCACTTTCACTTGCACAGTGTATTTAATTGTGTCTTACATTATCCTACCCTCATTTTTCATCAGCGTGACGTGATTTGTTAATGTGCACGAAATTTATACATATACGAAAAACAACTATAGTAACAATATTAATAGTATAACAATAGCAGTAATAATAACGACACAAATTAGCAAAGTTTTGCCTTGGCCAGGTGAATAAACGAGGATTTAATGGCCCACAGATACATAAAGAACCACAAAGTCAGCCGAACGCGCCATTGCTCTTGACCAGATAATAATCACAGCATTAATTAATGAATTACGAAAAGGTTTATGTCTTTTGTCTTTTATTTGCATGTTAGGCAGCCATTAAGATTGGTGCGAAATATATTTGGCAGTTGCCAAAAAGGATGTGCACTGCTATAGCTCAAGAATGAGGAAAAATGCCATAAATATGCGTCAAATAGTAGCTGCAGATTTTTTTAGATGAATTTATAGCTGGAGTTCATAAGAATTAATTAGAAGCTGTTAAGAATCTGGGATCTGAGGAATGGACAAACCAAGTGTAAATTTGAAAGTGTGAAGTGTAGAAAGATAACCCGAATCAAGGAGACATAAAATATCTTTGACTTTGTCCTTTGGTTAATCAAGCACATATGACTGTTTAGCGTATGAAAAATATTCTTTGTCAAAAAAAAAGCGAGCTGCCCAGAATATAAACTAAATAACCCTGGCAGGTGAAGTAGCTGCAAGGGCCAGGACAACGGGAACGGCAACGGTAACGAAAGAGCTGCCACCACATCCTTTTACTTTTACTGGGTAAACACAAGAAACGAACGCGCGCATAAATTTTCCAGGGCTATAAAAATATATATAATTGAGCTGCGCGCACAGCAGGCGACTGAGAACAGTAACGACAACAGCCAAAAGGCGATGCCAGGGCACGCAAAAGACGAATCGATGGGCCTGCCTCAAAGAAAATGGCGCTCTGGCGCGCATCAGCTTTGTTACCGTACTTTGTGTAACACACAGAAAAGTTTAAAGCAAATCAAAAACTTGGCGATAAGCACGAGTTGGGCTAAGGACTGACAGGCGCGCTGATTGGTATTTTCATTTTTTGCTTTTCTTTTCGCGTTGGCGTGGGCATGTGGATGTTTTTTTAGTACTCTCAAGGCTAGACCATAAAATATTTTACATTTTTGCCACAGAAAACCGTCCGAAATTCCAGCTATTTGTGCAGATATGTTAGTAAATACAAAATTTGTAGCATACTTTACTGAGCAAGCTGTGCTAGGACTTGCGCAAGTGTAAGCGTGCGTATATGTGTGATGCCAGAGTCAAAACTACTAGATTGTCATTCGGTGTTACACATACACACACACACACAACACTCAGTGCTCAAGTGCGTAGTGAACACGTAATTAATTTGAAAGCGTCTCAAGAATTAAACATTTTGCATGCCTTTTACGCCTGTCATCAAATAAGTGTCACCCAACCGCCATCTGCCATTGCCACGCCCTTTTGACAGCCATTGGCAGCAGCTGTCTCATGCTTATTATGTTTATTATAAATAATTTTGCAGCTGCTTGTTTGCTTCTATTGAGTTCCTTAAATAAGAGTATCGGCCAATTCGCCAACTTGTTTTACATTATATCTTATATGTATTATTCACGTATAATCCTTGTGAGTTTCTTACGCATTAGTAAAATATTTAAGATATTTAAAATTTCCCAATCTAGTTGAACTTGAATACCCAACCAGTCTATATTGTGTCGTAATTGAATTTAAGAGCACAGAGACTGTACGTAATGTATATTTATTTATATATAGGTGAGTTCCTGACTACTTTCGCCAACAACTCGCCAAATGGTTTAATATAAACTTAATATTTATGTGCATATTGTGTTAGGTTTGTATGCCTTTACATTCTATATGCATAGAGTTTGCCCATAATTCGCCAAATTATTGAATATTAAATACAACATATTTAATATAATTTTAAGGTATTAATTGTATTGCTTTGTACATCATATTCACTTTGAGATACAATTATACAAATACGTTTAACTAAATTAATCTACCATGAGCTATTGTATCGAAATTGATTTAAGGAACACATACATTCAGTATGCGTAACATAATTATTTTAAGGCCACTTACACACCACCATCGCTTTTTGTGAAAAAAATGTAAATGAATACTTAAATTTGTGACATGTCAGCTTAAATAAATGATTAACTTGTCAATTCGAGTGGAGTGTGTATGCGTGTGTAGCGCACTCGTTCGCAACTGCCGAGTGTTGTCTGTGCCTGTGTAACATTTCCTATGGCCGCTTACTTAAGCTGTCAGTTTGCATATTAGATTTTGCCAGCTTCTCTAATCGCAGCCCTCTTGCGAAGTGCGACACATCCCGTTCCGAACTGCTCAATCAAACTTATGTCACAATTGGTCAATGGCAACATCAGCGGCTAAAACTGATACGGAACGATTGTTGCAAAATTCAATGCCAAAGGATGAAGGGCTGCCATTTGGTGTCTGCTACGTCTTCCAATATGTATTAGTGTGTAAATGTGTGCTGTGGTTACGTAAATTATTATTTTTAGAGAATAAAAAATGCGCAGACAGCCATAATATTTTGGCTGGCGAAATACGAAGAAAGCAGGGAAGGTGAAATGATCTTAAATCTAATAAATAACTATAAGAAACCTTATGTCCATTTCAAGTAAACAATATCAAATAGTGGAGTTAAGACACAACACCAAAGGAAAAGCGCATGCACATATGATCTCTTCATAGTGAGGACTGTCTTTGATTTCAGTCACTTAAAATGCGAACAATGGAAGACCAATGAAATTGTCACTGAGGGTATCGATAAAATGAAGTATATAAATCTGTGATGGAGCTTACTACCAACAGACGAGCACAAGTAATATTAGTTAATTTTTGATATCTTTTTAATACCCTGAACCCATTAAAAATGGGTATAAGGGTATATTGTATTTGT